TCCACCTCGTCTCTGTTGATGTAGATGTGGGCATGTCCTCCTCCTTTCTTCCTAAAGTCAACGATCAGTTCTTCTGTTTTACCAACATTGTTATCATTGACACCAAATCTTCTATGTTCTTTCTGTATTCTGACTCATTGTTGTTTGATATCCATCCTACCACAATGGTGTTGTCAGCAAACTTGTAGGTGGCAATCATTCAGAGTTTGGCTACACAGTTGTGGGTGTACAGGGAGTACAATAGAGTGCTGAGAATGCATCCTTGGGGGGCTCCAGTGTTGAGGGTTATTGTGGAGGAGGTGCAGTTGTCGATCTTCACTGATTGTAGTCTGTGGGCCAGGGAGCTAAGGATCCAGTTGCAGAGGGTATAGCCGAGACCAAGGTCTCGGAGTTTTGAGATTAGTCTGGAGGAGATTATTGTGTTGAAGGCGGAGCTGTAGTCAGTGAATAGGAGTCTGACATAAATGACCTTGTTATTCCAGATGTTCCAGGGATGAGTGTAGGGCTAGGGAAATGGTGTCTGCTGTAGACCTGTTTTGTTGGTAGGCAATTTGCAGGGGATTGAGGCAGGCTGGGAGGCTGGAGTTGATGTGGGCCATGACCAGCCTGCCAAAGTACTTTATGATTGTGGAGATCAAAACCACTGGCTTAATGGGTCATTAAGGCACGTTGCATGTGCTTTCTTAGGTACTGGGATGACAGTAGTCTTCTTGAAACAGATGGGGCTTGTAGGAGGGAGAGGTTGAAGATGTCAGTGAATACCTCCACCAGCTGGTCTGCACAGAATCTAAGTGCATGACTGGGGAGTCCATCTGGGCCTATTGTTTTCCTTGGGTTCCCTCTCAGACTGATCTGACATCTGCAATGGTGACAGAGGGAACAGGTGCATCCAGGGCTGTCAAGACAGGTGACTCCACGCTGCTGGAATTCTGCTTGAACCAATCATAGAAAACACTGAGCACACTGGGGGGGATGTCTGCTATCTTGCTCTGCTTCAATTTGTATCCTGTTACGTTGTGTGGGCCTCGCCACAGATGGAAGATGTCCATATGTTTGGTTTGGGCCTTTAACTTGGCCTGATACTGCCTCTTGGCATCTCTGGCTTTGCGGAGGTCTTTTCTGGATTTTCTGCACAGGTCTGGGTCGTCCGATTTCCGTGCTGCTTGCCTGGTCTTCAGTAGGCAGTGGATTTCCTAGTTCATCCAAGGTTTCCGATTGGGGAACACTCAGATTGACTGGCACATAGTCCTCCACGCGCTTGTTAATGAATCCATGAAGGTGGTGGCTTAGGTTGTCTGCTGAGTACTTGAATATGGTCCAGTCCACCAATTCCAACCAGTCCAGAAGAAGCTCTTCTGCTGCCTCACACCAGCATTATGCTACTTTCTGTGAAGGATACTTCCATTTCAGCTTCTGCTTGTAAGCTGGGAGGAAGAACACAACATTTGTGATCTGATTTTCTGAAGCGTGTATGGAAATGGAGCGGTAGGTATCTTTGATAGTTGTGTCGCAATGGTCCAGGATGTTCAGTCCAAATGGAGCGGGAGACGTGTTGGTTGTATTTTGGTAGCACCCTCTTGAGGTTGGCCTGGTTGAAGTCGCTGGCCATGATGAATAAGACCTTGGGGAATTTCATCTCCAGAGCATTTGTAGCAGTGTAAATTTTTCACATCTGCCGGGGGTGGTATGTAGACTGCTGTCAGGACTGCAGAGGTGAACTCATGTGGCAGGTAGTAGGGTTGGCATTTCACTGTAAGGTATCTAGGTCCAGGGAGTAGTAACTCACCAGGGTCGCTACCTCTGAGCACCAGGAGGTATTGATTAGGAAGCACACGCCTCCTCCCTTTGCCTTACCCGAGGACATCATGCAGTCCACGCAATGAATGGAGAACCCCTCAGCTTGCATGGGATAGTCAGGTAAAGCAGGAGTGAGTCATGTCTCCGTAAGACAGAGCACACCGCAGTCTCTTAGTTCCCCCTGGAAGTTAAGTCTAGATCTGAATTCATCCATTTTGTTTTCAGATGTTTGGGAGTATGGTGGGGAGGGAGGCCTTGAAGCCGTGTAGTTTCAGTCTCACCTGTAGGCCAGGGTGTCTTCCCTGTTTTTTTGTAGGTTTCCTGCAACTGGATGGTTCATGGAGTTGGTGGTGCAAGTCTGTTGCTCCAGAAGGTATGTGAGTTGGTACGGGTTGGGCCAGGCCTCTATAAGGTCAAGTAGCTGTGGGATCAAGGACTGGGCCTGAGCTGGTCAGGCCTCCTCGGGCTTGTGTTGCTGTGGGTCCAGGATTAGGTCCTGGGCTGGTCGGCCCTTCTCGGGGCCGAGTCATTGTCAGGGCTGGTTTCGTTCCGGGACAGGTTGGGTCACAAATGGGGTCAGGTTGCTGCGGGGTCAGGGTTCAGACCTTGGTTCTGGGTGTCCTGATGAGTCTTGCAGGAAGCCGGTAGGTTTGCCCTGGGCCTGAGAATCCAGCATCAATAGTACTTTGGTTTGGACGTTCATAGGATCTTCAGACCTGTAAGTAGATCTAAAAGAACATTATTAGTAACTTTTACAGACTTAGAATTTAGGTTTAAAAGTGCAGAATGGTTATAAGAAATGTTGAATACAATCTGTCAGGAGCTCGCAAGGAGTTGCCTGGCATTGGCACCATCTTGAATGGGATATTTTATTCTATGCAGACATTTTAAAATTTATTTTAATTTGGTCAAAAGAACATTGGTTAATGTAGAAATTTAATTATTTAAAATATGCATTTCAACTTGGTGTATAGGCACAATATTTTTTTTTCTCTGCTAAGGAAAACCCTATGGGAGCTAACTCCTGCTTTAATGTTAATTACTATGGGAACCAACATTCCCCTTAAAGTCTTAATGTTGCAATTTTCAGCAATGCAGCCCCAACTTTAGGTGAGGATACCCTGTACATAAACTGTTAACAAATGTCATGAAATCTGCCTTAACAAGAACACATTCTTCATGGTATCTGCTATGTGGGTTAACTTATCAGGAATCACTGAGGCCATATCATATTGGTAGTGGTGTTTTACCCTAAGGAAGCCACATCACATTTGTGTACTGAAAGCATTAGTTTTGGACTCCAAATTACTTATCCCGTGACATTACCACAATACCATCTCTTCCATTTACTCAGCATCTTGTCAAAACACAAATATATGAACCATGAAACCAAACTACTGAACCTTCACCGTACCACCTCCAAGGCAAGATATCCTTCCCTAAAAATGGAGACCAAAACAGTGCACAGTACTGCAGTATAGTGTCACCAAAATCCTCTACAGTTTTGACACGAGTTCTTTATTTTTGTACTCCATCCCCTTGCAGTAAAGGCCGGCCTACCATTTGTCTTTATTTATTTTAAATGTGTGCTAACTTAGTGTTTCTTGGATAAGTGCATCCTTCTCTGAATATGAACACACATGGATAGAGAACTAGTTGGCAGACAGGAAACAAACAGTAGGAATAAATAGGTCTTTTTTCTGAGTGATAGGCAGTGATTAATGGAATACCTCAGGGTTCAGTGCTTGGACCCCAGCAATTTGTAATATATATTAATGATTTAGATGAGGGAACTGAATAGAATATCTGTTTGCAGAAAACACAAAGCTGGATAGGAGGGTGAACTGTGAGGAGCTTGCAGAAATGCTTCAGTGTGATTTGGACAAGATGAGTAAGCAAATACATGACAGATGAGGTATGATGTAGATAAATGTGAAGTTATTCACATTGGTAGGAAAGGAAAGGAAGGCAGATTATTTGTATGAAGAAGATTAGGAAAACAGGGAGGTGCACAAAACAACTAGCTGAAAGTAAGCATGCAGGGGTGGCAGCTGATGAAGAAGGCAAATAATGTTGGCTTCTTAGTGAGAAGATTCGAGTACGGGGGAAGGGATGTCTAGCTGCAGCCTTGTTGAGACCACAGTCAAAGATGTGATTGCACTGGTCAGGGTTCAATGCAGAAGAGATTCACCAGGATATAGGAAGACAAGTAGCCCTTCAAGCTTGTTTCACCATTCAATGAGATTAGGGCTAATCTGTGGCCTGACTCCATGTACCTGCTTTTGACCATGATCCTGAACACCTTTGCTTAACAGAAATTTTTGTATCTCAGATTTAAAATTAACAGTTGATCTAGTATCCACTGTCATTTGAGGAAGAGACTTCCAACTATCTACCACCCTTTGTGTGTAAAGATGCCCTAGTTCTCAGACAATACCCCCTTGTTGCAGAAATCTCCAAATGGAAATAGTTTGACTTTATCTTCCCTGTCTTTTCCTATTAATATCTTGAAGAATGCTAAAGAAAACAGGCCTAATTTGTATGACTTCTTCTCAATAACCTAACCCCTGAAGTCCAGTTATCATTCTTATAAACCTGTTTCGTACTCCCCCAAAGGCCAGTGTGTCCTCCTTCCTAAGGTGTGGTGCCAGATCTGTTCACAATATTCCATGTGGACGCTGACCGGGCTTGGATAGAAAGCAGCTGTTCCTCTTAGTTGAAGAGTCAGTAACAAGGGTGCATAATTTTAAGATGAAGGGCAGGAGATTTGGAGAGGATTTGAGGAAAACAGGCTGATAACCTTAACATTGAAGTATTTCTTAACTGGGAGCCAACATAGCTAGAGTTAGATGAATGATACTTGGTGAAAGTATGAACCTGGACAGCTGAACCCTGGAGATCTCTCGTTTACTGAAGATGGGAAATGAGAGGCTGTACAGAAGTGCGACGTCAAGCCTACAGCTAATAAAGGCATGGGTGTGGATTTCAGAGGGAGGAGAGCTGAGACAGGGACACTATCAGCCAATCCTCAGACAATTGAAATAAGCAATCTTCCAGGATAAGCTTTTCTCTAAATAAAATATAGTCCCAAAGGCGAGAATAGACCGAAACAGTGACTGGACCCGAAACGTTAACTCTGATTTCTCTCCACAGATGCTACTCGAGTTTTTCCAGTAATTTTTGTTTTTGTTTCCGATTTCCAGATTCTGCAATTCTTTCGTTTTTTTTAAGTGGGTATAGACTGGCTTGGCCTCGGACACTGAGAAAACAACTTGGGAGGAGCCTCTTTCGTCTCTCCATGTTGTCCTGAAATCCCTGCCAGTCTGGTACGACAACGACCAGCTGGTCGAAGAATTTCTATTGGTTGATGTTGCAGTGACGGCCCGCCAATGGTGGTGGCGGCAAGTTCAAAGGGTGAGATGTGGGCCGCACACGGCTCAAATTGTCTATGTCCCGGAGCGTTCCATGGCCGCGCGCGAGAGTTCCGCCCCCCGGCCCGCCGCTGACACGATAACGTCACACTAGGTAACCGAGTCGGGGTGAAAGGTCGCCGGTCGCGTCTTAGCAACGGCGCTGCAAGTCCGTCTCTGCTGAGGGAGTGGGAGAAAGCAACGACTCCGGGGCAATATCACATCAATCAAGCAGCAATGTTGGACATCATACAGTACGCCATCGTAGAAATCGGTAGAAACTGCTTCCTAACACTATCCAACCTAACGGAAGGCGGTAAAAATCTGTTTAATAACATTTTAATTAAAGTGATGAGTCGCTGAGTCCCCGGCTTTTTTTACTGACATCCGTTCCACGAACACACTAATTGTTGCACTTGAAACGAATTAATTTACCTTTCTGGAGTGAGTGGGGCATAATCGGGGTGTTTATCTTGTTTTTATAATATTTTAGTATTTAGAATATTATGGGTCGGCAGAATTCTAGAAACGTCAGCTGTCTTCACCTGTGAATTTGTTTCACTAGTTATTTTCACCCCTTGTTTTCTCACCAGACATTGTCAACATATGGGCAAATGTTTCTGCTTTCGTAGATCGCCACATGTCTCTCCAGAAGGTAAAGAGCACCATTCGTTGGGAAAGCAGACACCAAAGTCGCACAGTAAACTTGATAATGGAAGGGGACGCAAGCCAGGCGCTAAAATTCCATCTTTGAAAAAGCAATGTATTCTGTTTTCATTGCTAGTCAGAAGAATTAATACAGAAAACTGACAGTACTTCGGTTTATGTTTCCTTCCGATTTAAACACATTGTTGGCTAAAGTAAAATTTGCAAATATATAAGTAAACGTTATGGCATAATGCCGTAATAACTTTCCAAATCATAACGTATCAGAAAACTACGGAACTTTAACAGTATTTGAATGAAAAAAATGTATTCGCAATTAGTAACAAAATCACGTTTAAGCGTATACATTTCTTTTATATCCTGTACTTCAGGGAGTACATATCTCAGGCTTGGGGACCTTTACATTTTCACAGCAAAGACTGGATGTCGGCCGTAAGTTAATTTTAATTCAGAGGCCAGTATTTGTGATGTCTGAAAAATTCGTGCAGATCCATGGATTATCCTACACAAAACAACACGTTTCTGGTAATAAGTTATCTTATTTTATCAGTGGTCAAATGTATGCTAAATAATATATACGATAGAATTGTTAAATCATATGGCTAGTGATACAATATTATTTTTGTCAAAACTTTAAAATGTGAGCAGGTGGCCGAACGTTTTGCGGGTGGTGGCGGTGGTTGCGGCCGGGCTGTGGAAGTCCAGCTTCATTTAACAGGGACCGAGATTTTGCATGAGGTAGAAAGAAATCGAAGATAATGTGAGGAGGTATTGCAGAAGGTTTGTGTCAACATCAATACCGGCACTGACCATTTGGGCTAAATGGTTATTTCTGTGCAGGAAGTACATTTGCAGTAAATACATAATTCTTTCTTTTTCATACAACATGAAGGCTCCTTTTGTGTATCATATTAAATACACATTTTTTAAGAGTGGCAATACAAATTAAACATAAGTAACTATGGCATCATACAGAGATAGCAAGAATTGCAGATGTTGGAGTCAGAGATAACAAACTGTGGAGTTGGAGGAACACAGCAGACCAGGCAGCATCAGAGGAACAGAAAAGCTGACATTTCCGGCCGCGACCCTTCTTTAGAAAATCTGTGTTCCTCCAGCTCCACACTTTGTTATCTATGGTATCATACAAGTTTGTTTCATACACTTTCAGTTAAATGCTGGCAGCCTCTTCATAAAACTTCAATATATTTATATGCTGCATTGCTCAATAGTTTCTTCTGTGTTCAGATTTTAAAAACAAAGATGTTAATTTTAATTATAAAGTTGTTGTGAGTTTGTTAGAGCTGAATATTTTACTGTATATCACAGATTTCCTGATCTATCATTCACTATCAGGGTCAGTAATTTTAATACAAAGTCACAGTTAATTCCCTAATTTTAATCAAGTTGTGAAAGGGCCAAAACAAAACACTTCAGGGTGATTTTATACTTTAACATTTACAAATTTTTTCTTCTGTTCTCTTCATTTACTCTTTTCTCCATGCTCTAGCTTGGAGTACCTCAATTTCTTCAAATGCAAATGTTGACAAAGAACTACGTGATACTATGTATGATTTCTGGGGATGATGACATTTAACTTAACCAAGTTATTAGTATGTACATGTGTGCAGCTTTAAATAGGTGTCAGTGAAAACAGTGAAGAGCAAAAAATACCCACCTTTTCTATTTTTATGTAAAGCAGTGCAAAATCTCTTTTAAAATGTTGTCGCAAGTCTCAAGTTATCATCTTGTCTATGATTGTCTGTATTGGTGGCAAAGTTTGTGATTAGAGGTCACAGAATATCAAATAAATCTATCACTGAATTTCTTTGTTATCTAATATTTGTACAAATTTAGTAAGTCTTTTTCATTTATTTTTCTGTAGGTGACATACCTATTGTTGAATTAAATTTTACATTCCTGGCTCTGGAGGGCCCGTATGATCGGGATACGGTTGAAGGGTGTGTCAAAGAGACTCTGCAGATCATGTATCGTTATATAGCCAGTAACCGTAATGTGCATTTCACATTCAAAGATATTGGAGTGCTAACGATACGAAATAACAAGATCAAAATGAAGTTTTATAGAGAATTTCTTAATGCTATGGATGGTAGTGGAAGTTTAGTGAAAGCCCTTTCAAATGTAAGTACACTAAATGTTTTGGAAAACAGAAAACATAAAAGGGATTTTATGTGATTGTTTAACACTTGTAGTTGCTATGAAGTGAAGAAAGAAAGTGTACGAAAAACAAAAGTGGCCTCCAGCAAAACCGTTTTCAAGTTTTATGTTGATCGTCTCGATGCTAATAAAATGGCTTCTTTTTTTCAGCATAAGGCAAAATGTAAGACAAAATTAAATAGTTTTCTGAAATAGTACTTTGTATGGAATCTTTTGAAAAGGACAAAAAATGGAAAGTTAAAGGTAAAGGATGCCAGTCCTGGGAATGAAATGTCTTTACAGTTTTGGGCCCCAGTGTTAACATTACATGTTTTGTTGTGTGTACAACTTAGACCAAAAGTGAAGTCTATTTACATTAGCCTGACAATATACTTAACTGAACTGCAGATGGGCTTTTAAAAATGATATTATACTCTTTGTTTTAAGTATCTAGTAGTGTAATATTTGATTTGTTGTACTTTTACTTTTTTGCCACCATTCTCCTCACACTAAAAGGCGTATGCCTTCATTTCAAGTTGTAGTTGGATTCCTGCAAAGTTCAACTTTAAGTGAATTAGTTTAAATGAATTATAAATTCTGATAGGAATCAATGTTCAAACTGGAGTTTGGCACCTTCAGACATTCTTAACTTGGAAAAACCAATGTGCATGTTGAAATACTCTACTGTACATGTGCAGTGCCATGCATTTTAGTTGAAAAAGCTTGCAAAATAAAATAAATCATTAAACGTAGAAGAAATAATGTGTTTAGGTATTATAGGACTTTTCTCAAAAAAGAAAACTAAAACCTTATAAGTTGAAATGCTTGACATATCTAAATGCTTACAATCATTAACAAAACAATCTAGAATTTTTAAAATAAGTAATGAACAGTCAATATAGACTTAAACAAGACTGTACGCCAGCTGGTCCCCGCCTCCCTAACCTGTCCTTCCTCCCACCTATTCCCTCCTCCCATCTCAAGCCCCACCCCCCATCCCCTCCCCCCTCCCCTTCCCCCCCCCTTGACCTGTCCGTCCTCCCTGGACTGACCTATCTCCTCCCTGCCTCCCCACTTACACTCACCTTTACTGGCTCCATCCCCGCCTCTTTGACTGTCTGTCTCCTCTCTACCTATCTTCTCCTCTATCCATCTTCTATCCACCTCCCCCTCTCTCCCTATTTATTTCAGAACCCCCTTCCCCTCCCCCATTTCTGAAGAAGGGTCTAGGCCCGAAACGTCAGCCTTCCTGCTCCTCTGATGCTGGTTGGCCTGCTGTGTTCATCCAGCTCTACACCTTGTTATCTCAGATTCTCCAGCATCTGCAGTTCCTACTATCTCTGATACTCACTCACTGGCTGCTTGGTTTTCAATTGATTGGGTTCCATCTTGTGGCAGAAATTGGTCAGTGCAGGTAGTTCCTGAAGAAGTCATGATGTAGAGGTGCCGGTGTTGGACTGGGGTGTACAAGGTCAGAAATCACACAACAGGTTATAGTCCAACAGATTTATTTGAAAACACAAGCTTTCTGAGCCTCACTCCTTCTCCAAGTGTTAGTCCCAACATTTCAGTGTGAGCAGAAAATGGGAATGGGAGCCAGCTGCAAAAATCCTGGTGGTGCCAACAGACCCTGTGTATTTTAAAAGTAGGAATAGAGTGTGAAAACAGGAGCTGGGGAGTGGAGGACTTCAGGACTGAGAGTTGGAGTAGGAGTGGGGAAAGACATGTTCTGATCCTAATGTCGCTGAGGAAAATATTGTGTGTGCACTTGAACATGCAGACCACAGAACATTAAACATTTGACAATCAAACTTATAGGGATAATTGCAACTTTAAATCTATTTTATGAGTGATGTTAAGGCATACAACATTGACTGAGGCTTTCTGTATTTCTGCATGTTCTGCAACCTTGCCAAAGCTCTGTCCCCTCAACGAGCCTGTTTTCTGTGTCATGTGATACTTCTCTTCCTTTTCATTGCTACCTATCCATTCCCTCCATTCTCCCTTTTCTCATTATCACCTTCTTCCTTTCCTCTTCTTCTCCTCTTTTATTGTTGTTTTCCTCTCTCCTTCAGTCTTAGACCATTTCCATCTTGATCTAATTATCTCTCAAGGCTGCTTGACTTTCTTTCAGTTTTAAGCTCCTGTGTTCAACACTTATTGTGAAATTTTGTCACATATTTTGCTTTGTTTTTTTGAAAAATCTGTCTTACTGATTGCACAATCATTGGGTGCCTGTGGAGGAAGTTTTGAATTTATTTTGTTCCTAAAGGTGTTGAAGAAACTGTTGAACTTTATTTGAATATTGGCTTTTAATTTTCAAAGTAACATTTTAATATTGTATATTAATATACAATTTAAGTGTAAATATTTCTGGCTTCAGATGGCCCTTTGATTGTATCCTACACTTCTCAAGATGTCTAAAACTATTTACTGCCCTTTTTCTGATAATTTTGCCTTCATTATCCTGGGTCTATTTGTAGTATTAGCTGCACTCCTTGACCTCATCCCTAATGTTCGAGTTGTCCTCTGAATTCAAGTGGGATATCAGCTGGCTCTTATAAGATTGGAGGATAACTAGGATAAGTAAATATAGGTTATCCACCATTCCAACCAAAAGGAAATTGAATGGGGAAGTGGCCCCTACAAAGGAAAGAAGACACCTTTGTCCAATGGTGCTGTTAACACCTAAAGTAACCAATATCCTGGCAACTTCAGGTCGATATCCCTGCAACCTCATCAGAAGATCTGATTAAATCGCTTACTGGTGGATAAGACACCAGGCCTATGGCTTGCAAAAATATCTAACAGTTTGACAACAGTGGGTTGTTGGAGGATTGCCAGAAGCAATGAAGGTGAGTGTGGTCAGACCTACGAAAAAATTAGAAAATGCTGGAAACACTTAGCAGCTGAGGCAGCATCTGGAGAGTGGAATGTAGTGTTACCATCTTGGTAGAAATGAGTTACCTGTTTAAAAAACATTCATTCTCAGTTACTAATTGAAAGAAAGATACTAGATTTCACATTTAAGTGAAAACTTACTGTTCAAAAGTTAAGCAAGTGTATTTAACTTAATTTTATGTACAGTTTGTAAATAATTATGTTTTAAACCTGAAAACCTCAACGGCATACTCCCCATTTACACTCTTATTTCCACCCAGGTTTCCCCGATATTTTATAGGAAGTTGAGACTTTCTTCCTTTCGCTGGAACAAAAGCAAGGAACACAATAGCTCCCAGGAGTTAATTTGTTTCTCTCTTGTGTTCCCACTATTCAAGATAGGACATTTCTTGGAATCCTTCTGCTAGCATCCAGCTAAGAAATCCTCCAACTCTCTTTTAATGACCTTAGAGCTCAAAAAAGAAGCCTAGGGTTTCTTGGGGGCATGGAGGAGCACTGCTGCCCTTACAAAGGAAAGAAGACACCTTTGTCCAATGGTGCCGTTAACACCTAAAGTAACCAATATCCTGGCAACTTCAGGTCGATATCCCTGCAACCTCATCAGAAGATCTGATTAAATCTCTTACTGGTGGATAAGAAACTGGCTTAATTGACCATACACTAGATACCCACTCACTGGGTAAAATTAAAATCACCCCTATTGTCTCATTGTGTAATGAGATCTGTTAGTTAGACACACACGTTTTCTCTATATATTGCTATACTATTCTCAACTATATTTATTTCAGCAACTATAGGTGAAGAAGAGTTCTCACTTGTAAATTGATATGAAGGCACTCGAATACATTGAAATCATGTTTGTCAAATATGTGAGGATTTAGGAGTTCAGGGACCTTCCTGTTTTTACATACAATTATCTAATAATACAGAATTCTCAAATATCTATGTGCTGGGGTTTCATAAGGTATATTCTTATATATGACTGATTTATACTTGTGGCATATATCTTAATAAAATGATTATGTACTCTATGTTGATTATATGTTTCCTAAAATGTAATGATAAGGAGGTCCCCTAATGATAAATAGATAGTTTCTCCATACATTGATGTTCAGTTCACTATAATGATGCAGGTGTCACACATCTGTCAAAATTTTCCTCCAAATTTTGCTATACGTTTATAATTGCTTTTCCTGTCTACATTGCTTTATTGGGTGTACCTAGTGACAGTTCATATGTAGTATAGAAAGTTAGGTGAGATAGTGATGTTAGCCTCAAATCATTCAGAAATTTCTATTCATGATTCCCATGTGTTGAGAGTACTGGTATTATAGATGGTTTCTCAAAATGTGTTCTTCACTCTGTGTGAATGCCAGGAAGAATCTATTCAACTGAGTCGCTGTTAGTTTAAATCTGAGTAGGCAGTATTGTTGACATTGATACAAGACAGCTTTTCTACTCTGAAAGAGTTTCAAGGTTTGCATTCTCAACCTAGTGTATACAAAGGGATGAACTGCATCACAGCCCAATCAGGTGGCTGTGTATGTTGACAGTGCTATTGAAAGAGTCTGGTTTGGTGATGGTCAGATCCTGCTGGTGCCAATGGCTGATCTTGGATGTCCCTAGAACATGTTTTAGCATGAATAGTTATGAAATAATATATTAGTTACATAAAGTTCATGGTAGCAGTAAAGCTCAAATAGTCCCTATCCAGTCCCATTTATCTTTCCCAGGCCATGATGTATGTAACTGGAGAAGCATGTGCCATACTCTGTATCCTGGAGTTGAAATCCTCCAGTAGGTGATGATGTTCTAACTTAGAAATTCTCTGATACTAAGCCAAGCTCTTCACAGATCACACCTTTACTTTTGCAGTGGATCGGTGTTGGAGGGTTAATTGGCCCTATTTGAGTTGAGAGGCAGATAAAGAGGACACTTGCAGGGTTTCTGTTATTAAGTTCAGTGAATTATTGTTCATATATTTCCTCTGAATTGCTTCTCCTGACAGATGTTTTACTTTCAAAGATCTGCTCTCATGACCCTAGTGGTGTTGTAGGGGTGCTGTGTAAATGTTCAGCCTATTA